TCTCTCTCCCTCTCCCTCTCTTCTCTCTCTCTCTCTCCTCTCTCTCTCTCATCTCCTCTCTCTCTCTCTCTCATCTCCCCCCTCCCTCCCTCCCTCCCTCCCTCCCTCCCTCCCTCCCTCCCTCCCTCCCTCCTCCCTCCCTCCCTCCTCCCCCCTCCTCCTCCCTCCCTCTCTTCTCCTCTCTCGCTCTCTCTCTCCTCTCTCCCTCCCTCCCCAGAATAAACAAAATCATCACGAGGTTTCCCCCACGCTGTGTATTCCAAGAGAAAGAAAAATCGTAGCAAATATGAGAAAGAATTTGATGATGAAGCAGAAGGCAAGTCAACATTTCTTAGAAACGTTTTCTTGGACGACGATGATAGGGGTTATATCTCTGATGCAGAGAAGGACGAGTGGGTTGTCCTTCCTAGAAAACGTTGGCTGTCTTTGATCCTTACGGTATCCCTTGCAGGATGGCTGATCGAGAGAGAATCTTTGATTGATGATCACTTTTGGCCTTCTTCCTTTCTGCCTTCTCCCTCTCCTTCCTTCCTTTCTGCCTTCTCCCCCTCCTTCCTTCCTTTCTGCCTTCTCCCTCTCCTTCCTTCCTTTTGTCTTCTCCCTCTCCTTCCTTCTTTCTGCCTTCTCCCTCTCCTTCCTTCTTTCTGCCTTCTCCCTCTCCTTCCTTCCTTTCTGCCTTCTCCCCCTCCTTCCTTCTTTCTGCCTTCTCCCTCTCCTTCCTTCCCTTCTCCCTCTCCTTCCTTCTTTCTGCCTTCTCCCTCTCCTTCCTTCTTTCTGTCTGCCTTCTCCTCTCCTTCCTTTCTTTCTGCCTTCTCCCTCTCCTTTCCTTTCTGCCTTCTCCCTCTCCTCCTTCTTTTCTGCCTTCTCCCTCTCCTCTCTTCTCCTTCTCCCTTCCCCTCCTCCTCCTTCCTTCTCCCTCTCCTCCTTCTTTCTGCCTTCTCCCTCTCCTCCTTCCTCCTTCCTTCTCCCTCTCCTCCTTCTTTCTGCCTTCTCCCTATCCTCCTTCTTTCTCCCTCTCCTCCTTCCTCCTTTCTTCTGCCTTCCCCCTTTCCTCCTTCCTTCTGCCTTCTCCCTCTCCTCCTTCCTCCTTCCTTCTCCCTCTCCTCCTTCCTCCTTCCTCGTTCCTTCTCTTCTTCCTCTCTTCCTTCTCCTTCTTCCTTCTGCCTTCTCCCTTTCCTCCTTCCGTCTCCCTCTCCTCCTTCCTTCTCCTTCTCCTCTCCTCCTTCTCCCTCTCCTCCTTCCTCCTTCCTTCCCCTCCTCCTTCCTCCTTCCTTCTCCCTCTCCTTCCTTCTCCCACTCCTCCTTCCTCCTTCCTTCTCCCTCTCCTCCTTCCTCCTTCCTTCTCTCTCTCCTTCCTTCTCCCACTCCTCCTTCCTCCTTCCTTCTCCCTCTCCTCCTTCCTCCTTCCTTCTCCTTCCTTCTGCCTCTCCTCCCCTCCTTCCTTCAAGAGGCCACCCCCCCCCGCCACCCCCTCCCCCCCGCAAAGAGGAGGGAGGAGGAGGAGGAGGGGGAGGAGGGTCGATGTCTTTTGTGTGTAGTGCAATAATGTGAAAAAGTGGAATGAAAAATTGGTATTTGGCATAGAATTCCATGGTATCCTTTCTATAAAAAAAATATGAAAAGGAAAGAAAGAAAGAAAATAAAAAACGCACAAGGTTGTCAAAACCATAGCGAAATATACATATGACACTTCATTTGACACATGACACAAGTATGTTATCATTGGTTTCACCATCTTGTTGTAGTTCTCATGAATACCTCTTTCTTTCTTTCTTTCTTCTTTTTCTTTGTCTGTGGGCGGCACTTGCGTTCTCTCTCTCTATCTGTTTATTTGCTTGTCTGTTTATCTCTCTCTATCTATCTATATATCTCTGTCTATTTTCCTTTCTCTCTCTTTCTCTCTCTCTCTCTCTCTCTCTCTCTCTCTCTCTCTCTCTCTCTCTCTCTATCTATCTATCTATCTATCTATCTATCTATCTATCTATCTATCTATCTATCTATCTATCTGTCTATCTATCTCTCTCTCCCTCTTTCTTCGTCTCTCTATCTCTCCTTTTAGTCGCCTGTTTTTCTCTCGTTTTTTTTTTTTTTTTCCCCTAGCGTCTAATGAGGCAACTCCTCTTCATCTATACCACGACGGACACTATTTTATTGGTCTTTGTCTTTTATTTTTTGGTTTTTGTCTTTTATTTTTTGTTTTTTGTCTTTTATTTTTTGGTCTTTGTCTTTTATTTTTTGGTCTTTGTCTTTTATTTTTGGGTCTGTGTCTATTATTATCATCATTTTTGTTGTTGTTTATTCGTTTATTTTTATTTTTATTTATATTTTTCAGTCTTCATGTATCCCGGAAATATCTTAATTGTTGTTGCTGTTTTTTAATTCTTTTTTAGGCTCGTAAACTCTCTATATCAAAATAGATTTTGATATAGAATGTAGTTCTATATGTGTGTGGTAGTATAGTATATATATATATATATATATATATATATATATATATATA